CCTCATTCTCGAAAAAGAGGTGGAACGGAATGACTAACTGGAAAGATCTTGGTGTAAAAACAAATAATAAACCAGAGTGCTGATCTGTTCTGCTTTTATTTCTAGAGAAATAAAGGTCTATTTTGAATAGGACACCCACACTATGCATATTGAACACTCTCTGGATTTATGGAAAGTTGCTTCATTAAACATTATCTTTGCATTATAGTGTATGGTCACATAATTTATGGTCTATCTTAAGAATTTGGCATGTATCAGTATATTGCTCCTGTCAGCCTTATTTCTGTGCTACGGAACTGACTTTGAGTAGGATATTGCACTTACCAGAATGTGTTCCTAACTAGGTTTACAATTCAGATGACAGGATCACGTCAGAAGACTAGAGATTGAAACCCAAGACCAGCCTTGTACTAAGAACCTTCCCGTGTTATTCTGCAAGGAGTTTAGCAAAAAACTTTATCTGCATTTATAAATATATATATACAAGCTAATAATTTAGCCATGATATATATGTAAACATATAAATTATTAATGCATCTCACATTCCCAGGTGGCCCTTAAACACCGTATCTAATCACATGAAAGTGACAAGTTGTCTAATTTTATAAATGTATACAAAATAAGTTGTGAAAAAAGTCAGTCATCGAGAGCTCAGTACAGATGTTAACCCAATTTGTGTGGTAATGATCAAACCAGTCAGCTTACATAAAGCCTTACAGCTGCACAATATTGCAATCCTGCAGTTCTGTCATCAGCAATGAGGGTTACCTACCTGCCCCTGGAAATTTTTCCAGTGGACTCTGCATAGTCATGCTGACAGTAAGACCTTCCATTAGTGTTGCCCACAGTAACAGCCTTGCTCCTTTTCTGCTTTTCTGTCCAAGGATTGTCAGCTATAGCTCCTTCTACTGGGTCTTAGGATTCTTAAGATAAAAGATTTCAGATCCCAGTAGGGCTCAGAGAAGGGAGTGAAAGAAGGCCAGTAGTGTCTCATAGAGCTCTGTGTCTTTTGAATTCTGCTTTGCACATTCTCACTGTGTAATTTCAGAAGCAATCAAGCATTTACAGAAGTTAGCAGAAAAAAGTCTGGGACTGTTGGAATGGGGACAGAAGTACTGCTAAGCAAATGGGTTGTCTGATCCACACATGACATCTCAGACGTAACAGCTTGTAAACATTACCTGTAGAGATCCAAATAATAACTTTACAGATTTAACCAATCATGCTTTGAAGGCTGTCACTGATCTAGTGGAGCATGACCAAATCCTATTAGAGTGCAGAATAGATACTAGTGGAAAGTCTTACATATGCTGAGTTGCATATCTACATAAGGAATGCAAAGACATCCCACATGCTACAGAGATGTATGCGCATGAAAAGATTAATACATGCAACTAAATTCATCATCCCATGGGCCTACAACAAAGATTTCAAATCCTGCAGGGTAACTCAGTCTGAAACAATACTATGTGCTTCATCAAAGAGGATCACATTGCCAAATTCCCTCATAAGTAAGGGCTGACTTACAAGTCCCTTACAATTTCAACTGAAATAGTCAAAAGCAGATGAGATCCGTGTTTTGTTTGCCCACTTCACATGTGTACTTCTTTAAAATTACAGCACAATCTAAGTAGTCATTTGTTAGAGTTAAATCACTGGATGAGATTTTCTAAGATCTGCTGAAATTCTATCATCCTTGCAGCAAAATGTGGAGGAAGGGAAGTTAAGTGAGTGTTTGAGACTGGGTATGAGCATTTTGAGCATGGGTAGGAAACCTGCACAGATGTGAAAGTGCTCAAAGGACTGTTTATATCTTGCCCAGTGGGTATAATCAGAACTATTTTGACTATTTTTTTACATTGCTTTTTATCTTCCACGTGTGAAGAAAGTTCAAGAGAAAAGCATGTTAGATGGCTAGGTGTTTCCTCCTATTCTGAGCACTACATGCTATACTTTTCTGGCTGCAAGCCCCTGCATGTGAATGCCAGGGAAATTTCTAGCCCCTAATACCAAAACCAAGTTGTCATATACTTTGTAAAGGCTACCTACCACATTATCACTCATGTCAATATATACAGATCCTACAGGGTATCCTGCCTCCCCGTATAGCTAGGAGAAGTTAGCACCTTCTTATTTGTTCAAAAACTACACTGCAGTGTTGACTGGGAAGATATGCAGTCTTTTTTTCCCTTTAGATAACTCCAAGAGCTGAAAAATTACTTTGTTTAAACAAATTCCCTGTTCTTTTCTTTCCTAGTGTGGAAAGACTGCTTTTAATCAATGATTGTGGCGCTGTGAAAGAGAGATGCAGTGCCCTCTCAGATAAAGTAAAATAACAGCCCCCCCCCCCCCCCTTTGCCTTAGACGTATTTCACAGCCAGAGTCACAAGGGTCTGTTAGCACTGCACTTCATATGATATTTTTTTCTTTCATTAAAAAAAAAGATGAACCAGAGGAATTTTTTTCTTTGAGTTACGTTTGGCCCAATTAACATTAATCTTTTTTGTCTCCTTCAGCTTTTCTCCACACAGTAGAGAAATCCAAAGCTTTTCTCTTGGCTCTGTCTCCAAGGACTAATATCTTTAAGTACTCCAAGGCTAGACCCAACTCCCTGATATCTGTTTGCCTTGAACTTGCTAAGCACTAGTAAGTTTGTTAGCCTCCAAAGCATCAAGAAACTACAATGATCTTTAGACATATTCCATGTGGGTGGTTTTGCAGAACAGCTTCATACAGCAATAAAACCTACAGCTTGTTCTGGTGAATCTGTGTCAGATGAGGGCAAATAAAACCCTCTGAAGTATAGTACATATCCGGTTGAGCATGTTACACTGGGAAGATTCATGAACAAAGGAGCTCCTCTGTACCTAGCTTTTATTGTTGTCATTTGCCACAGAAGTGTTGGTTTGAGCCCAGATTAAACAAACCTAAATTACAAACAAGAACCTGACTAAATCTAACTTTATTATAGACACTGCAACAGATATTCAAGCAAATATTAAGACACTGTTTTCTCTTGGAAACTTGACCTTCATCTGATGCTGAGGAGGGATGAGTTGAGTTTGCTGGACTGCAAATGCTGATGGCCTCATCATCAGAGCATGCAGAAGTAGGGAAGGTATGGAAGAAGTATGTAAACACAGTGGTAGGCACTGCAAGGGTAGCTAACCTGTTACAGCTTCTTACCACCAGCACATGAAATCAGACCAGCCATCTGCTGAGTAGCTCTGCAGCAGAACTTCTCAGACAAGCAGGAGCTAAAAAATCTACCAAGTTTCCTAATCAGTTGAACATAAGGACATTGAGGACAGGACTAATCAAACAATCTGCACAAAGGTTAATGCAGCTCCAGCTATTCTTAAATCTCTACTTTCCAGCATTCAGCTAAATCAGCTTCCAGACTGGTGTCATTTCCAATGACTACATGCTAAGGTGCTCAATGAAAACAAATATTGTACAGATAAAGAATTCTAGTTGAGGTAGCATCAACTTTAGTCTTAACAAAGGAAAGGGGAACTGTGGAATTAGCCTAAAAAAGACTCCCGTGCCTTGTCTGACATTTTAATTCATATGGGCAGAAAGATGTCCCCATTTTTAAACCATCTTACAGGAAGTCTGGCATTCTTCTTGTGTGCTGTTTTGCTTAGTAGAGTCAAAGCTTGACTCACAGAGAGAGTAGTGTTTATTCTAAATTATCAAAGTTAAGGAGCAGTTAATGACTTGAACACCCACAGTATAAGTTAAATTAAGCTGTATAGGGACTCTTTGAGCCACCATTCTAAACAAGGAAAATATCTGTGCACTTCAGATGCCAAATACTCTTTTTTTCCTTCACAACAGCTTTTATCATTTTCAATGACACTGTAATGGAATTGAGCAAACAGCAGAATCCACAGAGATGTTTAATTCCTTCTGAAATCTCACCACCACCTCAGAAAAGAGATAAGATTTTACAGATTTATTCCCTTCCTTTATTTCAATTACCATGTTAATGCTTGAGACAATTCCTAACCCAAACTACTGGCCCAAAGTCTGTTGGCAGGTAAGACAGCAGATCTAAATCAAATCACAAAGATTTTGCAATAAGATTGCAAAGCACAATTTCCCCTCTGTAGTAAAAGCTGCACTTTCCCCTGTTTTCCTACTGTAAATCACTATAGGATGGCAAAACTTCATTACATACACATGACACAATGTTAAAATAGTACATCCTTTAAGACATTCTAACAATATCCGAAGCTAAGTTCAAATCTAAATATTAACAAAGTGTAGAGTGAGATCTTCCCCAGTTAATTCGCTCAGTCTTTCAAAATCAGAAACTAAAAGAATGAAAGGGCTCTGCTATAAGCAGTCTGCTACACCAATATGACAAAAACCACTATCAGCCTTCAGTTGTGACCCTCTCATGGCTGCCAAATTAAAACACAAAAACAGTGAGCCCCCCTCCCATTCTTTTTGGCCAACAGTTCATGCAAATTACATAAGACCAATAATCTTTTCTTAGCAACAAGATTTCATCTTCACTACTGATTATATTAATGATAAAGTAGTGAACATTAACAAATCTAATGATAAGAGATGCCCTCCTTCACTAACTCATTCATACAATTTAAAATCTCTGAAATAGAAAGAATAATTCATTCATCCAACAGACTCACCAGAAACAGAAAAGAAGCCATCACTAATACCGCTTTCCAGCCTACATTCCTGACACTGAAATCTAGGCACACAATGATAATTTCATGTGAGGAGAAGGATTGCTAAATATACAAAAATATGTGGTTTTCTACTGTGCCATGAAACTTTCACATTTTCTTATGTCTTTGACTCATTCCAACGTTTTCTAGAGTTAGGGTTAGTACACATGAGCTGTCCTGACTGCCATGGGGCACAGAAAGTGCTGGCAAAGTGTGCTGAATTGTCAGCCCCTGAGCACCTCCACCTCCCAGGGAATCATACAGCTCATTCAGGTAACTTCAGAAAAGGTTATAATTACTTACAGCAGGATGTCCAGCACAGTAGGTGTAGCTAGCATGAGACTGGTAGTGCAAGCTTGCTCTTGGAAAGGTGTATGTATTCCAAGCAGGTTGGCTGCTATTCCACTGGGAGCTAAAGCCAGGGCTCATGGTCACTCTCGATTTACTGTTTTGGTACGTTCTCACTGTGGAGCTGGACTATCAAAAAAGAAAGAAATGCAACGTAAAAATAGCTTTTAGGGTAAAATATAAACAATGCAGCTACATATCATCATTGTCCATATATATACTGCCACATGGCCTGGAACAAACCTGAGTATTTCCTATAAGAAACAGGGAAAAGCAAAAAATTGATTCCTCCAAACATATCAGTGAAACCGGTATCACTGTACTGCGCAGAAGAAAGACAGATGAGAGACTTCAGGCTGGGATGTAAATCAAATAGGCAAAGGGTGACAGAGATAAAGAGATGTTCTGAAAACCTGCAGAGGGTACAATCTTGCAAGATTAGTAGTTGAAACTTCCATATTTATTTATTTATTATAATGAACTGAATATTGACATTTATTGAGCTCCTGATCAGATATGTCCATTTTACAGTAAATGGCAGTTTGGGGCCAATGTTTCAATGTATTTCTTGAAGTCTTGAAATCCCATCTAGTGGCTACGGAAGGTCAAGCCATCACAAAGATGCCCCTGCATTTCACATATGTAAAATCCTAAAGAGACTATGAAACATCATGCTTTTTTTTTAATTACTTAAAATGCAGAAGGAAAAATAAAACTCTTAAAAAATTCAGTAACTTCACCTGAAAGTAACCCAGACTACAGATGTGTAATTCACTTTCATTCTTTCTGGCTTACTCTCATTTTACTTTATTTCAACTGCATTCTTCTGCTTCAAGTCCTTCTTATATAAGACATATTCCTAATAAGTGCTTGCACTGATAGGGGTAATTTATTAGGGCAGGAAAAAAGACAAATATTTTTTCTAAAAGAGTAGAAGATGCATCAGAGGTGAATGCATTTTTAGCAGATATTTAGGTTGGCCTTCAAAGATACACAAATGTACTTTTTCCTTCATACTGTGTTCTGCATGTGGGTTTTGTTCACTTTGTTTTTGTTGGCAAAGGCGATATCTCAATATTCTATGCAAATTTACACCAAGTAATTGTAATTATTATAAACCTGAAATTGCTCTTTTAAAGCATTAAATTGACGGTGACCTTAGTAACACAGTGAAGGCTTGAGATATATGAACACAAATAATATTTCTTAGAAATGCTTACAAATGTCCCTGTTAGTAAATTGATGCTATCAATTTCAAAAGCTACACTCAGGAATGACACTTCATTTATTTTTACCGTTCTTTCAAAGACAACTTTTATACATGATGTATGTACCATTAACCAAATATCAATATGGGCCACCACTGAACAAGGTGTTTCACACAATCCAAGACCATCCTTACCCCGAAGTACTTACAAGATAAATGAGAAGGTCAAGGAAAGGATGGAATAGCACAGCCTGATGCAGAAGCAGAGAAAACAGCTTCGTAAACATGACTTTCATTTCAGTGCTTCAGCTCAGTTTCACTGGGAGAGGATTAGTGAAATGGAAGGAAGATGGGACAGAGAGAAGACATACAAAAAGATTTCAAGGACACATTCTAGCTATAAAAATACATAGCCTGTATAATCTTTCAAATTTTTAATGTTGTATTTAGCTGGTTTTATAAACTACAGGCCATGCTGAATATGACTTCTCTATTTCATTTAATTTTCAGAAGTACACAAAGTTTTCCTCGGTTATCGACTGCTGTATAAACTTAAGTTCAAGAAAAGGCCAAACAACTTCCTGCATGTGTTTATTTCCTGCGCCACTGATTAGGAAGCCTGAAAAGAGCAGTTTCCCCTCACCAGTTCTCAATATCTCAACAGATTCGCCTCCCACCCCCACCCCTAAGAGAAGGATTCCTGTGGTGCAATTTCTAAAGATTTAACTTATGACCAGCTGAACACAAAGCATATGAATGAACACTAAAACCCACACTGAACTCTCATTAGTCACTGTGTGTGACAAGTGGTTACTTTGTTCTTACAAAAGGCTTTAGGGGGAAAAAAAATCTGCCCCTATAGTTAAAGGAGCTTATTTGAAACAAATCTCTTTTTTTGTATGAATTTAAATCATGACAAATCAAAGGAAAGAGACTATGGCTACAGATAGAGAAAAAAATAAAATAAAATAACGGTTTTAATGTTTCAGGTTTTTTTTTTTCTTTCTTTTTTTCTTCCTTTTTTCCTCTTCCCCTTTTACCCTCTTTCCCCAAGGACCAGAAACTGCATTTCCTTTCCTTTGACGTATTACTTATCTTTCAGATCACTCTTCAAAGGCAAATCTCTCTTTCTGGGCCCTGGTAGACTTGCTTCTACATGAGAGATGAAGGCTAGATTTTGTTTTGGACAGACCAAGTAGGGGTTTAGCCATAATCTACTTCTCCATGTAAATTTCTCCCCTTTATAAACATCAGCATGGCTGCTTATTGACTCCTCTGGAGGAGCTCATCCCCAGCCAAATATTCTGTGAATATTGAGCTGCTGTATCCTAACAATAGCTTCACTCCTTCCTATTATTTCTGATGGGTCTGCATTGTATAGACTAGTGGAAAATATCTGTGGCTGATGGGATGTGAAGATGAATTGTCAGCTGTGATAATTGTGAACTGATTATTTTTCATTGTGGCAGTAAACTCCACTACAGCAAGGAGGAACGTGCTGTTAGCACTATGCAGATGTGCCCAATGTTTGCTCCTCCATTATTAACTGGCAATAAATTCATTTCCTGCAACTTGCATCTTTTTTTTGCCTGTGACAGTAATTGCTAAGTGATCCCTCTCTCTTTATCTTGAGCTTTTCCCCCTTATTTTCTGTTCCCATTTTGTTGACAAGGAGGGGTGAAAAATCGACCAGGTGGGTGTCTGCCAGCCAGCAAAGGTAACCACTACAAAGTGGCAGATCTTGTGGCAAACAAGCTTTTATTTAGGATTTGAAAGTGCATCTATTTCCCCCTAAACCTCTCGATTCCTCCAATAAAAGGTATCATTTCTCCCCATAACCTTGTCTTCTTTATGTCTCTCAGGCTGTCAATGGTAGACCATGGCTGCCACTCCTCAAACAACCTGATCAGCTTTTCTCAGATAACTTCTGCAGAAAATTCTCAGATTACATAAAAATGAACTGTTGCCCTTTTTCGCTGTGTTTTGCCAGAAACAACAAATATTACAAAAGCTAGGAGAAAAATTTCTTTTCCTTGAATAAGTCATTCCAGTACCTTTATACCCTAAAGGTCTGATTCAATCTGAAATTGGTATCAGTAAAATTTAAATGTCTAAGCATATTTTAAAATACAACCCTTTTTCCCCCTATGCCTTAATTTGTTTGTAAGTATTGTAATTTGCTTGTAAGTATGGATAATCTTACTTTAAAAATTCTAGGCTAACTTTTCCTCACGTTTGTAAAAGTTTTGAATGTTTCTGGACATAAGCATGAGTGAAATGCAAAGTACTATTAGTATTATTACTGTTTCTTGAGCTTAACTGCTCTTAGTTCATGACTGTTAGTGCTGAACCCAGGACAGTTCTTTTAGTAGCCAATGTGTGAAGTCCAATAGTGACAAAAACAGAACATTATGGAGCACTTTCTGTCTTCAAAGCACTGTGCAAATGTTAGATTTCTGACGGTTGCAACGTTTCCAACTTTTAAAGCAGTTTATAGTGGATGTAAGAGCTAACAGCCACTCCTTCCTATTTGTATGTGAATAAGCCACACTCTGACTAGGACATTAATAAATATAAATAGTTGTGCTGTAGCCTTAGTCTTCCTGTCATCACACCCATACCCTCCACTCTTGCCATACAGAGCCATCATGCAGTAAACTAACAGGAAAAATGCGGTAATTCTGAAATGCTGCATCATATCAACTGCAAGACTGACTACATCTATCAGACACCCTTCTGCCAAGTATTCCAAAGTGCTGTGATTATTATTGGCTTTGGCACGCCAATAGAAGAGAGAGACTCCAAATATGCTGCTCTATATTACCACTCTACGAATGCTGGCTTTAAAAAAATAATAATAAAAGACGACAAGTGGGATTAAAGAGGTGTAAATAACATCTGAATTCAGCCTCCTACTACCTCAGCTTTTAAAAGCAACTTCCTAGAGCTACGATGTCATTTTCTTAGCCCACACAATTTGAGCTGCTTCCAGTCTCTTGGATTTTGATTACATAATGGTTCTGTCTTCAACTGCATTTTCTGGGTTGTGTTGTGAAAGGAATTCTGTTCAAAAGGCTGCCCACCTTCTTCCCCTTATCCATTCAAGGGATCTGCCATCCCTTATTTTGATGACAAAATGATTAGAGAAGTTGGGAAAGGCCATTTAGAGAAACTGATATTATGGACATAATGTTTTCAGGAACTCTATATGCCTGTATTTGAATTAGATCATGATGCAAAGCACAGTCTTATGCTCTTAAAAGTTTGGATGCTTTACAAAATACTACTGTTCCCATAGAAATCAAAGTTTTCCTATAACCTGGAAAAGTCAGAAATTAAAATAGCTGCCCTGGAACATTATCCCATGAACTAAAATGATGCATTTGTTTTCTTGCTCAGAGAAAATAAACTGGCAAACCAAGTCTGATTTTAGTTCATCACAAAATCCACCTGAGACTCCTTAAAGATTATGATAATTGTGAAATTGAGGAGTAAGGGTGTTTTTTTCCTTTTGGATTGTTATGAAAACTAAACATGGAATATATTGTAGATTTATATTTTATTTTACTAGCAGGAAAGAGGAATTTTATGCTGATATTTTTCCCAACATAATCTTTCACTAAGGCTTGCAAATCTTTTAGAGTCTAGAACCAGATTCCATCTGTTCCAGTAAGAGCTGAGCTCTTAATATTTGGCCACTGCAGGTTTCAAGTTTATCAGTTGTCTCATAACCTTTATGAAAAAACTTCAGAGACATGACCAAATTTAAGAGAAACACTGTTTTTCCAGACATGGGATTGAAACTCAATACACTGTACCTGGAAAAACAGGATCAACTGAGAGAAACAGCATTCCACTGAAACCGCAGAGAAATGAGGCTGTATTTCATCTCAGCATACATGTAAGGCTATAGCTCATCCAG